CTTCAGTGCACATCATGACCATGAAAACAAACACAAACACACATCCTTCACACTCCACACATTGAACCGAAAACCTGCAACACCTCACCGACATTGCGCTATACAATAGAATTCAAAAAAGCTACTGCCCTGGGATGGAAGCTGTTTTTCAGCCTACCTACAGGTAGTTCTTGATTTACAACAGTTTGTTTAGTGACCATTCAAATTTACATTTACTGAAAAAAGGGACTTATGACCATTTATGACGGTTACAGCATCTCCATGGTCATGTGATTGATATTTGGTTCCTATTTATGATGATTGCAGTGTCCCAGCGTCATGGGATCGCCTTTTGTGACCTTCGGACAAGCAAACTCAATGGGAAAACCAGATTCGCTTAATAGCTGTGTTACTAATTTAACCACTGCAGGGATTTGCTTAACAACTGCGGCTAGAAAGGTCATAAAATGGAGCAAAATTAACTTAACAAATATTTCACATGTTGGGCTCAATTGTGGTTGTTAAGTTGAGGACTACCTGTATTAACAATTATTTGTGGATGAAGCTTACACATAATGTAGCAACACTTTTCTACTTTTAGAGAAATAAATCTATCTTGATTATTTAGCAGGGAGTGCAAATAAAAACTGTCAGAGTGGCCTGGAAATTTAAACAATAAAGGGGTAATCAGGTGGTGGTGAATGTCCTGTAGAACTGGCAATACAAGAAGAATATGGGTACTGGTTTCTATGGTATCCATATCAGAGGGGTAGTATCAGGTTTCCCCATATTTCCCTTACAGGATAGCTGCCGTTGTTGTTGTCAGTTGCGAAGTCGTGTCCGACCCATCGTGACCCCATGGACAATGTACCTCCAGACCTTCCTGTCCTCTACCATCTTCTGGAGTCCATTTAAGCTCAAGCCGACTGCTTCAGTGACTCCATCCATCCACCTCATTCTCTGCCGTCCCCTTCTTCTTCTCAATCGTCCCCAGCATTAGTCTCTTCTCCAGTGAGTAGATAGATAGATAGATAGATAGATAGATGATAGATTGATTTATTAAATAATAAATAACTAGATAAATAAATGAATAGCTATAGATAACATTAAATTGGGTTAAAGATAAAACTCTGCTAAATTTGAGAACTGTGAGGATATAAATGAAGTTGGTTTTAAACACTAAAATTCAACTATTCGCAATTATGTTGTGAGAGAAAGCAGCAGTTTCTGTTTGATCTTTTATATCTAAGATCCTTTGCCTTAGTATTGATCTATCTTGATCAGACTTTGACCTCCTATTTATGTTCCCATGAACCAACCAGGTAAGTTTGCCTGACTGTATTATACATCCCATGTTCCATCTATCTTGCTTTTAACTTCTTTCAGTGGCATTTAGAGAGAGGTTTTCAGCAAAACCACTGAACTGTCCATTGTAGAACAAGTTGGAGAATCCGCAAAAAGATTTAATTACTCAACCAAACTGTTTTGCCTCCAATTCTATCACACTGTGTTTCCCTCTTTGCATATTTATTTTTGTAGTTGTAGATACACAATTCCCACCCACCCCGCCCAACGGCTATTATGTTTTATTTCCCTTCAGAGTATTTCTTTTCATTCCACTAAAAATAAACATCACATCACAGCAAGATATTAGTTTATTTTTGCCCTTTTAATGTTCCTTCTTTTGCCATGACTACTCATCTTTTGCAAATATGCCTTTATTTACCCATTTATGACTTTTATATAGATTCCTCCTGGATTGATTTTGAACCTTAAAAGGGTTCTCTGTTACCCACGTTTTTAAGTGTTTTTAAGTGTTTACCTTAACAGCAGTGGTCTACCTTTAAAAAAACACTTTAATTTTAGAATCATTTTGAATTCTTCACTTAAATAGCAACTTCTGTTGTGTACATTCTCATCCTAATCAGCAAGCTTTTCTATTTATGGATGTACTTGTGCTTCCTTTTCTTAATTTCTGCAAATAACTCTTTAGTTTCAATGTCTGTTTATTTTAGTTCAAACGTCATAGCATCTATTTCTATTTCTTTTATCTTTCTTATATGTACTCATTTCTGGTATTCATAACTATGCTTATCCTTATACCTATTATCTTGTAAGCGATTGACAAATCAAATAATTTATTTCTAAATTTAAAATACCTGGTTGGATTGAGGACGGATCTAAGAGGAATTAAGCTCGATCCCACCAAATGCAATACATATATTGTATTTGCATGCCATTGAATCATATAGAATTGTGTGAGGGTGAAGGTTTGTCCTCTGAGCTTGTGGGTTGGCTTTCAAACGTTTTGTTACCAGGTTAGGTAACATCTTCAGTGGAGTTTAGGGGATGTCTGTCGGTATTCTTCTGTTTATAAGGGCTTCAGGTGTGGTCAGTAGATGTTGTGATGGGTCAGGTTTGGGTTTGTCAAATGAGGGTCTTGTGATGAGACACAAAACCCTCACTTGACACACCCACAAACTCAGAAAATGAACCTTCCCCCTCATCCGAAATACACCCAAGCTACAGATATTTGCCACTATGCATAAAATTGTGTGTGCAAGCATAGTTTACTGATTATGTTGCCATTCTTCTTCTTGTGACACATCCATTAGCAGACATTGGTGATCATGTTGGTGATCCTATTTTTATCAACAATCGCACGAAAAAGTGCTGGTGAGTTTTGGCTAGGGGGTGGGATTCTACCGGTTCAGACTGGTTCGGACGAACCGGATGATAAAGTTACATCTAGTTCGCCAAACTGGTATTTCAACTGACCAGCTGGCCCCGCCCACCCTGCCCCTCCCTTCCCAGAAGACTCCACATGGCCCATTTCCAAGAGGAGGTAAATGCAGGAGGCTCTGGGAGGGGGGGAAAAACGGGCCTTCCGGAAGTTTGGAAACAGGCCTGTTTCCACTTCCAGAGGGCCTCCAGAGCCCAGGGGAGGCTGTTTTTGCCCTCCCAGAGGCCCAGGGGAGGCCTCCGGAGGCTTGGGAGGGTGAAAATGGCCTCCCCCGGGCTCTGGAGGCCCACTGGAAGCTGGAAACAGGAAGTTCTGGTAGGCCATGGCCACAATGGCCATGCTCACCCAGCAACCAGGCAGTGAACCAGTTGCTGGGATTTTTGAACCCCACCCTTGGTTTTGTCCAAACCAGCCCCTTAGATTTGGAAGCCACGCTGTTCTTCTTCTGCCTTCAATTTTTCCCTGGAGGATTAAGTGAAGTAGGCCGTATTTTTCCAGGTGTCGCATCCCATGTCCTAAATGGTCTAACTTTCGCTTTTTGATGGTTTTGATGGTTTTCCTTGGCTTCCCCAGGTGGCTTAAATTCATGCATGTATGGTCTTTATCTAGATCAAGGGGTGTCAAACTCATGTCATTACGGCAACATCACATGACGTATTGGGACTTTTTCCCCCTTCGCTAAACTGGGTGTGGGTGTGGCCAGCAAGTGATGCATCCATCCCACAGGCCAGGAGTTTGACAGCCCTGATCGAGATTCAATTTTTAGTTATGTTAATCATCCGGGTATCTAGTAGGATGCTAAGCGTTGATCAATGATTGAAGTGTTACATAAGCCTAGTTAAAATTAAAGAATTCTTTAAATCGTAGTGGCTGCCTGCTGGGTGGGGTTTCTTTTTTGGTTACCTGAGGGATACACATAGTCTTTGATTTACAACCACCTGTTTAACATCATTTCAAAGTTAGAACGGCACTGAAAAAAAGGACTTACAACTCGTCCTAATATAACTGTTGCAGCATCCCTAAAGTTCATGTGATGAAAATTTGAACACTTGGCAACCAGCATGTATTTACATGTTCTGTCCTGGGAACACATGATTACCATGTGCAACTTTCCCAGTTGACTTCTGCAAGTAAGATTGTCTTTTCTTTTAACTGCGGTGAAGTCTATTCTATTCTAGTTGGACAGATTTTAGTAAAAAGCTGCAGGTTCTAATTGTTGGTTAGGGCAGGGGTCCCCAACCACCGGTCCACGGACCGGTACCGGTCCGTGGAACAAGTCCTACCGGGCCGCTGGCTTGCTGGGCGCCGCCATCTTGTTTTGATGAAAAAGTGCTTCCGGTGAGCT